ACCTCTCAGGGTCCATCAGGCGCCTGGGACGGAACCATCTACGCGGTTCCGTCTCCCTGCGGCGGGGGGGAGCGGTCCGGAAGTCCATCTTCAGGAGTGAATGATCTGACCATGACAGGGGCTCAATGACTACCTCCCCTGTTTCCAGATCATTTTGCCACTGGCCAGAGACAAAAATTAGATCCAGTGTGTGTCCTCCTATGTGAGTGGGGCATGCACTAATTGGGTCAAGTCCAAGGCCGTCATGGAAGCCAAGAACTCCTGGGCTGCCGCCGACGTTTCGCCCACTGATGGCAGATTGAAATCCCCCATGACTATAAGTCTGGGGGTCCCATGAGAATGCGTGGAGTCTACATTAGGCAGCAGACCTTCGTAGCAGTTGCCAGCACACTATGAACTAGGGCAGCCCCATGCGTCTTTTGTAGTTTACAAGACTGTGAAGGGCCACCGATATGCCCTTTGGCCCTGTCTGATAGTAGATGAGCCTTAAATTCAGGAACAATTATTACTATTGTTATGAACACAGGTTTATGCTCTGTCTTTCTTGCCCTCTTCATTGGCTGCTGCTTTGGGGAAAAGGGGTTGAAAAAACCGGAGCCACACACTTTTCTTACTTTCACTGATGTATTTTTAAATGGAGGAAATGTGAGCAAAGTGTTGGTTATTGCCACAGCTACCAGTATGCATTTCCTCTGATGTGTCATTCTGGCCTAAGGCGGAAAAGAAATTTGCTTGACATTAACCTTCCACCTGTCTCAGCTTATTAGAATTGCCCTTTTCTTTCCTTTTGACTTGCTCCTGCTCCCCCTCCCCGAGGAAATAAAACTTTTAAGCTTGGTCTTCCTGGTTCACATTCCCCAACTTCGTAGGAAGTTTGCTGCTCCCCCCCCCTCCCTGGAATATTAAATGGTAGCCTCTGCCATATTCTCCGTAGTTCATGCGCTTGAACCCTGGGCAAATTAGACAAGACAGGAGCTTGGCTAATGAATTCATGGCTTATTGAAAGTTCCAAGCCCATCATCATTATTATTATTATTATTATTATTATTATTATTATTATTATTATTATTATTATTATTATTATTATTATTATTATTATTATTATTATTATTATTATTTATTGAATTTATATACCGCCCTATCTCCCTTACGGGACTCAGGGCGGTGAACAGACGATAATAAAAACCACGATAAATATACGCAAGTTTCTGTTCTTAAATCAAATTAAATAACAGGCCTGCTCTAAAAATACCCCATACAAAACCCCCACTAAAACATAATCAAACTACGCTTGTCACTAAAATCATGTTGTTTGTCTTTTAAGGCAAAAATAATGATCTTTGCAAGGCCAACTACAGTAAATCAGTGCAGGTTGGTAGAATGTGAGAAACACAGAAACAGGTTGGCTTTACTTAAACTCGTGGTGGCGAACCTATGGCACGCATGCCACAGGTGGCACGCAGAGCCCTCTCTGTGGGCACATGCGCCGTTGCCCCAGTCCTAGGCCTTCAGCTGGGTTTTATAAAGCCTTTTCGCTTTAGGCCTCTGCCGCCGTGTGCAAAAAAAAAAGGTTCAATCAATCAATTTGAACTTCTCGCGGGAAAAAAAAATCTTGTAAAGTTGGAATTGATTGATTGAACTTTTTAGTCCCACCCATCTGCCATTACCATCGCGGCCACACCCACCCAATTGGCCACAACCACGCAGCACCCGACGATACATAAGGGGGTTTTGGGTTGCAGTTTGGGCATTCGGTCTCTAAAAGGTTCGCCATCACTGACTTAAACCATGCTCTGCTATGTTTTGTTCAAGGAAAAACAAAAACTAGAGCAGTTGAAAAAAAATGATTCTGTGTTTGATGTTAAGACAGTTTTAACAAAAATGCAAAGTTAAGGTTATCACTTAAAACACTTTCTGTCTTTCATACTTTCTCCCTTTTTACCTATTAGGTTTCAATGTTCTGATCGCTTTAGTGAACTAGTGTTGTTTTTTTCTTCTTTTCTTTTAATCAGCCTCGAACAACTTTGGACACTAACCTTGAGGGGTGTGATGAGAAATGGCTCTGGGAGACAATACACAACGAAGTTACTCTATCATCCCATGTTTCATCTTTGTTGAGGTGAGCTTTTTGACAACTTGTATAGGAAACCAAGATTTGACTAAGTAGGTGTACAGTTGTGTTTTTTTTACTACTGATCTGAGAAGTGAATTCATTATAACAAATTGGCCCTGTTAGGAAAATAAATCAGGGCTGCAGTGCTAACCATTTTTACCTGCATGGTGTTCTGGTTTTAAATGTTTTTTTTTTATGGATTTTGATTATTTTTATATTGTGTATTATGTGGTTAATTGTATGCTGTTAATTTGTATTATGCATGTTAATTCTAATTGTACAATTACAAATTGTAATTGTAATTGCCACCTAGAGCCAAAAGGTTAAGGTGACCTATACATTTTACAAATAAATAAGTCTTATTGTAAACCTTATTAAAGAGAAAAAAGAGTTTGGCTCAAACATTCGCTTTAATTCTTGTCTTTTTGCTGATCTGTGACTGGAATAAAGATTTGATTTGATATATCTTGTCTTCCTGGCACTGGAAGCCATGCGCTTTTAAAATATTCATTTACTTATTTATTACTACATATCTACTTTGATATGAACCAGGAACTACTGCAGGATAGTAGTTGTCAGAAAATTAGATTCACGATATAAAGTTGATTTTTATCTATTTGTCTGAAATGACTAAACTGGATAAGATTGCATGACATCCAGAAGATGGCTGGTTCTTTTTTCTTTTTCTTTTTGGAAGTGAAAATCTATTGGAGCTGCAGAAATGTCTGCAAGAGGGCATACATCTGATTTCATGCCTTTTGTTAAAAAATATATATTGAGAATCCTTTGCTGCATAATCAGATTATGGTTCCTTCACTCTGCTTCTATAGAAAAGCCAAAGCTGGGATTTCACATTTTCATTCATCCCCATTAAAGTTTATGCAGCGTATCCATTTTTCCTGGGGGATGCAAACTTAACGTGCAAAACTTTATGAGTGAAGATAAAAAAAAATTAAGAAAATAGAAGTTACATTCAATTCTTTATCCTCCAATATGTTCTCCGGTTATCCTAACCCCACTTTTGCAGTATTATGAGCCTCAGATCTAACTCATACAATGTTGGTTCAATCGATAGTTTAGCTCCTTTACCCATTCATCAAGTGAGTCTACTTTCCCCCCACCCCTTTTAAAGTCTTGCAAGTGCTTAAAAATGCTTAAATGGGCACTTAAACATATCTGTTCCTTTGCCTTCCTGTTGTATGACTGTGATGGAAAAGGGTAAACGATTTAAATAGATTGTTTAAAAAAAAAACCACTCTGGAGGTATACCTAACCTCTTAGGCACTAGTAAATCAGTGGCTTTCTGATATGAAGATGGTAAAGCCACCTATAAATACTGCATTTGTCTTTTTTGTTTTAAGCATGTAGGAATCCAGTTCTTGCCTGCCCAAAGCCTCTCCCAGTAGATTTAATGCTTTCAGCTTCACCCAAGTTTTCTGTAAATGCTCTGTGTAAACAGCAACTTTGAATATAATAATAATAATAATAATAATAACAACAACAACAACAAAACAACAACAGCAACAACAACAACAACTTTATTATGGTCATAGACCAGCAATAGACATCACTTTTTACAATATATTAAAAAAATAAAATAAAATAAAAATAGTACTACCATTAATAGTAAATAATAACATCCCTGTTAAGAAAATACATGTTCTCAAAATGTTAGGGTCACTCCCTAGTTTACATGAGTGGATAGCCGATTAGTGTGTGAGTAAATATAATGTTCCAAACATTATTAGAGATATCTCCAAAAAATTGGCACAAATTGACGGCTATAAATCTGTAACCAATTTTTTGCAACTTTGAATATGAAATCAGGATTGTTTGTTCAAGTCAGAGCAATTTCCAATTTCTCTTTCTGGCAGAAGACTGTCCCTGCTCCTGTTGTCCCCCCCCCCCCCCAGGCAGCCTACTCAGTTGCCTCTTTTATTTTGCTGGTTGGTTTCATTTCTGGAGATAACAGCTGTTGTCTCCTTATGTCCCATTAGGTTTCTTTTCCTCCTCTGAACCTTCTGTTGATTCTACAACTAGTATTACAAAAAAAAAATAGCCAATTATCAGAATCTGTAGTTAGCCTGTATCTTTTCAGACTACAAGCAGAGATTCTAATGTTTCTTGATTTTTTTGCTATCGTGTTAAACAAAACAAAAAATCTTGCATATATTGCCTTTTCCTTGACTGCATTGCATAAAGGGATTTCAATATTGCATTTCTCCAACTAGGAGAAATTGTATGACTTACGACTTGCATAATATGACAAGCTTGCACTCTAGGCTGCAAGACATGTCCATTGCAGCACATCTGCAGCACATGATCAAAATCTGGGCGTTTGCCAGCGTGGCCGGCACTTGTAACTGAGGGGTTCTTCAACTCCCTCCACCATCCTGTCTCTCCATTTTTATGCTCTTCTGACCTCTTGCAGTCCACGGCCCCTGCCACCATAGCTGACCTTTGCTGTCTCCTACTCCTTTGCTCCCACTGCTGACCAAGCATGCCTGTTCTTCACAAGGCAGTTGCTGACTACACAAAGCTTTCTTCCCCAGATTGTGTACTTTCCTTGTGAGATCTGCAAAAGATGGCCCCACAGGGCCAACATCTGCCTCGCGCATGGCCAGGGCAGTCAGTAGAAACAAGAAGACAGAGAGGGTCAACCGCTGGCAGGGGTTTCAGCGTAAAGGGTGGTGAGGGCGACTGTGGCTGGCACTGAGCTGGAGCTGCTGTGATTTTGTGCTACACAAAATCTGGGGCTTCAACTTCACTCTCCCCCTTTAAAGCTCACTGAAGCATTGTTAACAAGGATAAATTGAGTTCAAGCTATTTTATTATCCTAACCTGAATATTAGCCAATTCGCTGTAAGAATTTGGACCATACTAGTTGGAATTTTAGAGTTTTAGTAATAAAGAAGAAGCATGCAATACCTACACCAGCAGAAAGGTACATCGGCATTTTAATCCTTAATTAGAATAGCTGCTTCCTGTTAACGTGGAACAAAAAGGTGGAGCTGAGGTCTAATTAAAACAGTGCCCAGGCATTGATCAAACTGATTGCTGAAAAGCTCAGAAACTGGAGTTGTTTCAGAAATCTGTGATAAAATATTTAACTACAAATTCCCTCCTGAGATCAGGCTAAAGCTCTATGTACTCAAACATTTGCTTTCTTACATAATCAGAGAGAAATAAACACAGTCTGAGAGGAAGCACAATTTCCTATCCTCGGGAACTATTAATTACCGATACAACTATATATATAAGCATAAAGATTGCCTTTTAAATTTTGTGGTTCAGAGGTACTGGTAAATCTGGTAATTATCATAAATATGGACTGTGATTAATATCTATTGTTGGTATTTGAATAAAGAAAGCACCAATGCTTGGCTATTTCATTAGATTTTGAGCCAACATAGTAATTATGTTTCACATAATATGTTCTTTTTGTTTCACTACAGCTTACTGTATTAGTCTACCCCTGGCCTAGCCTTTAATTTTCAGCAACCTAAGTTCTAATATACATAGAGTGCTAGAATAATCATCAACTTGATCTTTTTTAAATGTTTTGGTCATAAAATACACCGAAGTTCAGCATTTCCTACTTTTGCCTGTTCAAGGAAACGGGAAAAGAAAATATTAAGGCAGAAAATAAGTTCCTCTCAATGTTCTGCATTGTGACCACATCTAAGATACTATTCCTTCCAGTTCTTTTGAGAAGAGACTGGACAGCCACTTGTCTGAAATGGTGTAGTAGAGTCTCCTGCTTGAGCAGGGAGTTGGACTAGAAGACCTCCAAGTTCATAACCAGCTATTACTATTCTGTAGTTCTGGGCACCATATTTTGGGAAGGATATGAACAAACCAGAGCAACCATTATGATAAAGGGATTGAAGCACAACTGTATGAGCCATGGTAGAAGGCACTGGGTTGTTTGTGTGTTGATTTCTGATGACTGCCTAGACCAGGGATAGGCAACCTTGGCTCTTTTATGACTCGCAGACTTCAACTCCCAGAATTCCTGACCCAGCATGGCTGGCTCAGGAATTCTGGGAGTTGAAGTCCACGAGTCATAAAAGAATCAAGTTTGCCTACCCCTAGCCTAGACTGCAGTTTTCTTGGCAAGAATTTGGCAATTGTTTATTTATTAAATTTGTATGCTGCCGATCACACTATCAAGTGACTCTGAGTGGCCCTTCCCATTTCCTACGGTTGAGAAAGAGGGAGTGGTCCAAAGTCATCCAGCTGGTTTTATGGCTAAAATGAGAGGAACTCATGGTCTCCTGGTTTATAGTCTGGTGCCTTAACTACTACATCAAATTGGTATCCTGAGATATTTAAATTAGAGAAAAGAAAACGGCAGGGTGCCATGATACTCTTCAAGTTTCTAAAATGCTGATGTAGCAGATGGTGAAGAATCATTTAGAATTGTTCCAGTACAGAGGGATTTAAATAAAAAAGTAATAGATTTCAGTTGACACCAGAAAACATTTCCTAACAGTAAGTGGAACAGACTGTCTTGCGAGGGGTGGACTACTGGAGTTATTAAAGAAAGGTCCCCTACATCAGCTTGTAAATCCATGTCTCTACTGGAGTTGTTAAAGAAAGGCATCCCCTACACCAGCTTGTAAATCCTTGTCTCCTACTCAAAAATGCATTATAGTAATGGGACCACACAAGTTATTCAAAATGATGCCCATTGTCATTGATGACAGAAAAGCAAGATAAAAATGGGGTTGGGGGAGAGAATTGCCAAAGCTTGAAAGCTCACTCATGTTCAAAAACCCCTAGCTTATCAACCTAGCTGGCTCCTTTTGACACTTCCCGTAGAAGTGTTCTGCAAACACAAAAGAAACAGTTCTTGACAGCTCGATTTACAGCACACTGGAGAAAAACTAGGCAATTTGGAAGGAAAATTAAAACTAGAGTAGCATACTAAAAAGTGCGTTATGATGTTGTCAGGTAGGATGCCTGTAACAGTCACGCAAGATAGTCTGGATGTGAATTAATCC